TTTTTTTAAAGCACCTGTTGTTTGCCAAGCACTTTGACTTTTTCTTTCTCCAACTCAAAACAAAGTGCTTGGCAAAGTGTTTACAATCTGTGTCCAGATTATAGACCGATTCATAAATTTTAAAAATAAAGATTGCTATACTAGATATATGTATATGTACAAGGGATAGAAGTGATGTAAAGATGGGATTGATTTAAAAGGAGGTAAGTTCACATTGCTTTTCACTGGTAGCAGGAAAATTTTCTTTGCAATGGAAAATGTTCTAATCCATCTTCTCTGCATTCATTGGTCTTAGACTATGGTTTACTGAGGCCAGTTACAAATCACTGAGGTTTCCCAGTTGGGTGGGTACATTGGCTGACATTGATATATATGTATACAGTATTTTCTTCTTGATGAAGATTTAAGAAAATCATTTAACCAATTCTCAAAGGACAAAATAATATAATATTCAAATAAATATGGCAGTATTTAAATTAATAGATAATTTAACAAATTAAATGTAAGCATTTATTAGTGACACGTATGAGTAAAAATGGAAAGTACCAGTTGTTCGTTAGATATATGTTTGAGATTTAAGGGTAGTGTTTATGTATGAGAGGTCCCTTAGAGGAGCCACTTAAAAAAAATATAAAAGTATTTTGTACAAAAATACAACTAAAAAGCCAATAGATAAGATAAAATGGAACACTAAAAATACTCAATTATTCCAAAAAAGGAGGAATGGAGAAATAATGGAACATGGAACAAAGAGGACATGTAGAAAACAAATACCAAGAAGGTAGAGTAACACCCAACTATATCAATAACTACACTAAATGTAAATAGCATAGACACTCCATTTAAGAGAACAGCAGTTATCAGACCAGATAAAAAAGCAAGATGTATCTGTATGCTGTTTGCTAGACAGAGACCTTAAATATAAAGACACTGGTTAAAGTATGGACAGTGATAGACTATGCAAAACACTAAGTATATCAAAGCTGATGTAGCTGTATTAGTATCAAAGGTGACTTTTAAGACAAATATTACCAGAGACAAATAGGAACATTTTGCAAAGATAAAAGCATCAATTTATCAAGAATAAATAATACTCCTGGGCCGGCCCGGTGGCGCACTCGGTAGAGTGCGGCGCTTGGGAGTGCAGCAGCGCTCCCGCCGAGGGTTCGGATCCCATATAGAGACTGGTCCGCTCACTGGTTGAGCACGGTGCGGGCGTGACACCGAGGGTTGCGATCCCGTTACCGGTCACAAAAAAAGACAAAAAGGAGAAAAAAAAAAAAGAATAAATAATACTCCTACGTGCGTATGTATCTAATAACACAGCTTCAAAATACATGCAGCAAAAATTGACTAAAGGGAGAAATAAACAAGTTCCCAAATTCCTCTCTCAGGAACTAATTGAACAATTAGCCCCTCACCCCCTTTTCCCCAAGAAAATCAGTAAGGCTGTAGAAGATCCAAATAGCATTATCAGTCAACTCGACTCAATTGACCTTTCTAAAACACTACCCAACAATTGTATAACACAGTTTTTTCAGGTGCACATGGAATGTTCATCAAGATAAATCACATACTGGGAAGTCTTTATAAATTTAAAATAATTGGAATCATACAGATTATATCCTCTGACCGTGAAATAATTAAGTTAGAAACTGATAACACAGATACAGAAAATCTCCAACTATTTGGCATTTAAACAAGACATTTATATTAAGTTCTGGAACAGGCAAAACTAATCTGTGCTACTAGAGACCAGAGGCAGTGTTTGCCTCTGGGTAACAGGTGGTGATTTCTTGCAAAGGGGAATGGGGAACCTTTCTGGAATAATAGAAATGTTCTGTGTCTTGATTGGGTGGTAATTAATTAAATGGATATATACATTTGTCAAATTCCTCAAACCAAACTCTTAAGATCAGTGTATTTAATTACATATATTATACAGTCATGCACTGTAAAACAACATTTTGGTCAATGACAGACTGCATATACAATAGTGGTCTCATAAAATTATAATGGAGCTGGAGATGTGTAGTAGGCTATACCGTCTAGGTTTGTGTAAGTACACTGATGTTTGCACAGCGATGAAATCACCTAATAACAATTTCTCAGAACATATCCCTATATTAAGCAATGCATGACTCTACTTCAATTTTAAAAAGAAACTCTGAGGTAACTCCTGGTCCTGGGTCCTTGGTCCTTTCAGCCTGGCTCACAGTAGACCATGTTGGGGGATGCTGCATCAGCTTCTGTCCTGCCAAAAAGCAGGGCATTAAACATTGTCTTTCTCCCTTGCAGTATTAGTGACCAGAAGGATCCCAGGGATCGAATGGTTCAGGTTGTGAAATGGTACCTCTCAGCCTTTCATGCAGGAAGGAAAGGATCGGTTGCCAAAAAGCCATACAATCCCATTTTGGGCGAGATCTTTCAGTGTCACTGGACATTACCAAACGATACTGAAGAGAACACAGTGAGTTCTGCATGGACACTTTTAATTATCTTAAGTAATATGCTGATTCAAGATTTCATTTTAGTTAGGGGCAGATAATAATGATGAAAGCAGTGATAAGAAGGTACTCACCATCCATAGGGCATTGTTGAATATTTCAGCATATTTTGAATATTGTGAGAAGGGGGAAAGAGTGGCATGAGATGAGAATGGATATTTAGAAATCAGATCATGCAGGCTCTTGTAAGCCATGCTGATAGTTTTATGGCTTGCCAAGGTCTCATTTTTGTTTTGAAAAGATTGTTATAATGATTTTGTGAAAAATTAATTGAAAAGGGGCAAATAGAAGCAAGCAGACCATTGAGGAGGCTTTAGTATTTATCCAGAAGAGACATGGTTGATTCAAACTGTAATTCAGAGGTAGATCTGATACATGGATTGAGGAGGTGAGGGAAAGGAGACAATCAGAGGTGAATCCTTGCATGCGGACTTCAGCAGTTTCTGGCGTCGTTTACTGACAAGGAAAAGATTGGAGTTGGGGAGGGGAAAAATCAAGAGCTGTAATAGAGTAGGAGGGGACTGTTAAACATGCTAGTCGAGCTATCAAGTAGGGAGTTGGAATTTAAGTGTGTGGAGTTCAGGGGAGAGATCTGAGATGCAGATGGGGCTTTCAGAGATTTTATTATATTTAGATGACATTTTTTTAAAGCCCTAGGATTGAATGAAATTATCTAGGAAGATAGCATAGCTAGAGATGAGTAGGTAACCCAGAACTGAGTCTCAGGGCTCTCATATTTAGAGGTTGGTTTGAAGATGACATCCAGCCAAGGAAGACTCAAATACATGTTAAGAGGCCTCTAGGAGTAGGAAAAAACAGGCCCCTAGCCCACAGCACCTGGCACATAATAATCTTTCAGTAAACATGACTCTCCATATCTTTCCCTTTCGAAGTGACACATTACATGTAGTCCTCACCAAAGACAGATGCAGTGTGTCTATTCTTATTCATTTGGCAGACATAGTGCCTGCTGTGTGCCAGGCCTGACCCTGAGTCAAGCATATGACCTTGCCTTCAAGGATGTCTTAGTCCAGTCAGGAAGACTGACAGAAACTGATAATTACAATGGTGTAATCAAGTGCCATAATAGAAATATGTATAGAGTGCTTGGTGTGTGTAGAGGAGGGAGCAGACTCTAGTTTCAGGTTTTCTGCAATGTCATTTGTGTTGCACATCAAAAGAAAATGATGTTATATTTGCTTGCAGGAGTTAGTTTCAGAAGGACCAGTTCCCTGGGTTTCCAAAAACAGTGTAACATTTGTGGCTGAGCAGGTTTCCCATCATCCACCCAGTAAGTTACAGAGCTCCTCTGCAACATCCACACTCAAACTATTATGTCTAAAGAAGGTCATTAAAAGCTCCATAGCTGAGGTCACTTTACTGTCAGTTGTATAGATAGCTTATCTTCCCTGTTACCTGAAGTGGAAACTCATTTGATTGTTTTCTCATATCTGCTCCTTGTATAAGTTCCAAAGACTCTTTTACTTCAGTGATTAAATACGTGTAAAAATAAGCAATGTGGCAAACCAACTTTTAATGCTTCTAAAGTCATCTTACACATAATTATCTGCAAAACAGACCTCAGCAACTCTGAGATATCTGTATAAATGATAATGGTTTTTGCACAGTATATTCCTGACATAGTGGATAAAATACATATCTTCAAAATATTGTTTGTTCAGTGCAGTATTAAGATGAAATACTGGATGGATCTGGATTGGGGCTGGAGCATGGGCATACTTGCTGACCAGAACAGTAGCCCTTTTGATCTTAAGCCTCTCCTAATTGGCCACAGCCTCATGTTTCAGGGAAGCTCCTGCCCACATGGCTCTGAATGGATGCTTGCATTGGGGAAAAGGGTATAAAAGGCAGGTGGGCACCTCCTGGCCTAATTTGAGACTGTTCTTTGAGGGGTTAAGGATATCCCTATGGAGCTAGTTTTTTCCCCAGGTTAAGTGAGTTTGGAGAGGTGGCTGTAGCTATATAGTGTACTAACTGAAAACAATTTCTATTCAGTTTCAGCCTTTTATGCTGAGTGTTTTAACAAGAAGATACAATTCAATGCTCATATCTGGACCAAATCAAAATTCCTTGGGATGTCAATTGGGGTGCACAACATAGGGCAGGGTAAGTCTGTTGGCACTGAGTGGACTAAGAGTTAATAGGAGAATTTTATATCATTCTAATATGTGTTGAACACTTGTCAAGTAAGAAAAAATGGCTTCTAGAAAGCCAGACTGGGTGTCATTGTTTGCATGTAAATGTGTGTACTGGGGGTGAGAGCAGGAGTGGATTGAATGGAGTATCCATCAATCAGACAACGAAGCCGTATGGCCAGTTGACACTACTCATCAGAGATTCTATCCCTTCTTTCCACAGGCTGTGTCTCGTGTCTAGACTATGACGAACATTACATTCTCACATTCCCAAATGGTTATGGAAGGCAAGTAGAGCTGTGTCCATTTCCTCTGATCAGTAGCAGACTCTGCTGCTACTTAAGCCATGCCCTTCCTCTCCTGTCAGCCTTACCTGAAAACTTTTGATTTTGCAGATCTATCCTCACAGTGCCCTGGGTGGAATTAGGAGGAGAATGCAATATTAATTGTTCCAAAACCGGCTATAGTGCAAATATCGTCTTCCACACAAAACCTTTCTATGGGGGCAAGAAGCACAGAATTACTGCTGAGATTTTGTAGGTATTTTTGTTTTTCTGCCTCAGTGCTCTTCTTATTCTCTGAAATACTTTTCCTTTTTTCTTTAACTAAAACTTCTATGTTAGGAATTGGCCATTTTAAAGGTTCTATCTTTTGTAAACTTGTTTCACATCTTATGTGTCACATCTCTCTAAAATCCCATTTCAGAAGGAGACCTAAAACCTAGGTTCAGAACAATCAGAGTTCATTGATGGGACCTCCTTTGTAGGAATCTGACTTGCAATGGGGAACTAAAAGGGGTCTTCTTAGGTTGCCTAGCTAACTCAGATCATGGATTCTTAACTCATTCTTATCAGATTGGACCATGAGCTAGTCCTTACAGTGAACTTCGTGACCCTCATTGAAGTGTCTCCAAATCGTCACAGCCCCTCTTTTTTCATGTCTTTGCTAGGGGAAAGACAGCAATCATCACATCTTGCAGGCATTTGGCTTGGTTCCATTTGACACTCTTGGGTCAGATGAAGACAGCTGTGCTGAGTAACTACAGTCAGCAGGGTGGGTGCAGAGACTGCCTAGAAGAGGAGTCTGCAGTGATTGTGCCAAGGCCTTATTGGGAAGTGTCCCAGACAGAAGACACACGACTGGTTAACCAGTTTTCCAGGGAGATAATTTGATTTGGATGACAGAAGCAGCATCCAAGAAAATCTTGAGCAGGATGGCAGCATGAACTCAAGATGAAGTTTAGTAAGGATCAGTATAAATGCAAAAAATTATTGTAGTCAGAAAATATAGGCAAGGCTTAGAAAGCAGAAGTCACCAGTATAATGTGGCTAGCCCCCCCCCCCCCCCCAAAACAGGCAGGCAGATGGTGGAGATAGGATGTTTAGAACAAAGACATGGGTGGGCGTGCATCTCAGAGCTTCTCTTAGAAGTAGCCAATACCAACAGGAACTGCTAGCTCAGCAGAATTTTCTGATTCAACTGAGGATTTTTGGACTTATTTGACTTGATGATGGCGCAAAAGCAATACACATTCAGTAGAAACCATACTTCAATTACCCTTACAACCATTCTGTTTTTCATTTTCAGTATGGTATTGAATAAAGTAAATGAGATATTCAACACTTTGGTATAAAATAGGCTTTGTGTTAGATGATTTTGACCAACTGTAGGCTAATGTAAGTGTTCTGAGCATGTTTAAGGTAGGCGAGGCACGTTTAAGTAGACTAAGCTATGATGTTCCGTTGGTTATGAGTATTAAATGCATTCTCAAATTATAACATTTTCTATTTATGATGGGTTTATTGGGAGATAACCCCAACATAAGTCAAGGAGCATGTGTATAGTAGAAAGACTGCCCTCAAAGTTGTGCAGAAAGTCCTCTTGGTAGGTTTATTTTTTTCTCCCCACTCCCACTTGGTGGAGTCTTTGGGGACTGAGCATCAGACAAAGGATTACACTAGCTGAGTAGTTCTCAAACTTTTTGGTCTGTGGACCCCTTTACATTTAAAAATTATTAAGAACCCCAAAGAGCTTTTGTTTATGTGGCTTATATCTGTGTTTTTCATATTGGAAATTAAAAACTGAGGAAACTTTAAAATATTTTAATTCACTTATAAATGGCAACAATAATGTTTTTAATGAAAGAATTAACTTTTCTAAAACTTTTCTTTAAAAACTTTATGAAAAGAGTGGCATTGTACATTTGTAAATTTCTCCTACCTGCTTCTTGCATTCAGTCTATTGCCACGTTCCACACAGCCTCTGGAAAACACTGTACACTTTTAAGAAAATTGAAAAAGGCAAAGAATGTCTTAATATAATGAAAATAGTTTTGCGCTTATGGACTACCTCACTAACAGGGCCTTGGGAACCCCAGGCGTCTCCAGACCTCACTTTGAGAACCAGTGCATGACTTTCTTTTTTTTTTTTTTAAAAAGATGACCGGTAAGGGGATCTTAACCCTTGACTTGGTGTTGTCAGCACCACGCTCAGCCAGTGAGCTAACCGGCCATCCCTATATGGGATCCGAACCCGGGGCCTTGGTGTTATCAGCACCGCACTCTCCCGAGTAAGCCACGGGCCGGCCCCAGTGCATGACTTTCTTTTTTTTTTTTAAAAAGATGACCGGTAAGGGGATCTTAACCCTTAACTTGGAGTTGTCAGCACCACGCTCAGCCAGTGAGCTAACCGGCCATCCCTATATGGGATCCGAACCCGGGGCCTTGGTGTTATCAGCACCGCACTCTCCCGAGTAAGCCACGGGCCGGCCCCAGTGCATGACTTTCTTTTTTTTTTTTAAAAAGATGACCGGTAAGGGGATCTTAACCCTTAACTTGGAGTTGTCAGCACCACGCTCAGCCAGTGAGCTAACCGGCCATCCCTATATGGGATCCGAACCCGGGGCCTTGGTGTTATCAGCACCGCACTCTCCCGAGTAAGCCACGGGCCGGCCCCAGTGCATGACTTTCTTTTTTTTTTTTAAAAAGATGACCGGTAAGGGGATCTTAACCCTTAACTTGGAGTTGTCAGCACCACGCTCAGCCAGTGAGCTAACCGGCCATCCCTATATGGGATCCGAACCCGGGGCCTTGGTGTTATCAGCACCGCACTCTCCCGAGTAAGCCACGGGCCGGCCCCAGTGCATGACTTTCTAAGTAGGATCCTACCATTTTTCTTTCATATTGTTCCCTAGGCTTAACCCAATCTTGAGGACATTTAAGTTTCCAGCCAGTGGTAGAAGCTTTCATCCCTCCACACTGTTAATTTTTCTTTCTGACCTCTAATTTTAGTCTTCTGTTCATGCTTTGCCCTTCCTAATCTGGCCTTTGTTGTGATGCGTATCTTCCCAAATTCCATACCTGTCAGACATACCACTGTAGTGTCCAAGTAGAGGCCTGTCAGGGCTCTTGAGGAAGGGATCCTTGCTCAGGAAAAGAAGTCAGACCATTTGACCCAGAGGTCCCTTTCAACCTGAGGATGAAAGCCTGGTCTCCAGCATTATATCCTTAAGCGAAGCCTTCCCTGACCCTCTCACCTGCTCTTGACCCCCAGTACCTGTGTAAGGTTACCACAGCACTTACCACCTAAAATCTCAGTGGTGATATGTCTCTGCCAGACTGTGAACAGCTTGAGGTCAGGGAATTTCTGAAGTCTGTTATGGCCCCAGTACAGTGCTGTTTTACCTATCTCGTATCCACTGTTCATGGGATCTCTGGAGTTCCTTAGCATTTTGTTCAGGGCCCTCTTCTTACAGTTGGCTCTGGGAAATCCAGTTCTGTTAAGCTGCTTTCGCCAGTGACTTCACAGTTGCTCTATTTTCTACTCTGTGTACATAGGCCAAGCTGACCAGATTCTTTGGTAGAATAATTTTCAGCTTGAGACTAACACAAATGTTTTCTTTTCTGTTTAGTTCTCCAAATGACAAAAAGTCTTTTTGCTCAATTGAAGGGGAATGGAATGGAGTAATGTATGCAAAATATGCAACAGGGGTAAGAACCTGTATTTCGCCATTTGTTCTCAGGCTATATTGAATTGTAGCCTATTCCTTCTTCTGGCTTCTTCCATCTGGAACTTTAACCACCGAAGCCTGCTCTGATGTCATCTCTTCAGGGCAAGCCTGTCCTTCCTTCCCTCTCCTCCTTCCCAGCAGTGTGGGTAACAGAATGATTTTTACTTTCCTGCTGTCAAAACACTTGAGAGTAATACACATAAAACAATGCGTGGCACATAGTAAGCACCTAATAATGTGGTATGTTTATAAAATGAAGTTCTAAGCTGATTTGTTTGTGTGTGTTTATATACACATTGTTTTAAGATTTTTTGTTTTGAGATTTTGTATAATAAAATGTATTGACTGCCTGGCACCAGGCAGAGCTACATAAATGAGTAAGATAGTCCTTGCCTTCAAGGAACTTGTACTCTATAGTACCACTCACCAAGTATTCTCATTAAGCTAGGAGGAAAGGTGGTATGAAGTTAACAGGAGCCAGTGAACTGGATTTTGGACTTAGAGAATTTCGGAAATGTAGAAAGCACTGTAGACAGTGTGCTTAACATTGGAATTAGTTGCTTATGGGTCTAGCTCCCCAAGAGATTATATTCCTAGCATGTAGCACACAGCCACATTGAAAACATGCATTGAATTGAGCCTTCACACTTAAGACACACTATATTTTAGGCTTAAGACTGCATGTGAAACTCATTATCTACATCATTAACATACATGGGATTTTATTAGCTATGTTAAAGTCTTATGGGAAGAGTTGACTTTTCCTCCTATAACAGTTGGAGCAATAAAACATCCATTTACCTCTTTTGTTTTCTAGGAAAATACAGTCTTTGTAGATACCAAAAAGTTGCCTATAATCAAGAAGAAAGTGAGGAAGTTGGAAGATCAGAATGAGTATGAATCCCGCTGGTAAGCATATATCATAACTAGAACTGTTGCTGCAGTGCTTACACTGTTACCTACGCATATGCACAGGGCTGGATTTTGGAGACAGAATAGCAGAGTATAACAGTACAGACTAAGTTTGAATGCATAGATTCATATGTCAGCACTACCACTTACTAGTTTTGCGAGCATGGCTAAGTTAGTGAACCTCTCTTGGCCTCCATTTCTGAAATGGGAATAATGGCCTTCAGAGGAAGCCATGTCTTAACCCCTCAAGCCCCTGTAATTAACCTCTTGACCCTTGTTCTCTCTATTCAGATGGTTTTCTCCAAGATGGCATTGTTAAATCCAAGGAGTTTTTCTGAAATGGAACTTCTCAGCTCCTCTCATCTAACCTTTTAATTTCAGTTTATGACAAAGGGCACTAAAGCCCTTGAGAGGTAAACTGACACCCCTTAAGTTGTATAGCAAGTTAAAGGAAGAGGCAGGAGAATCCCAGGTCTCAGGTCCCAGTGTTTTTTCTATTCTTATCCTTATTCCATGTCCCTTCTTTGACAACTAGCAGTAGAGTCTTCTGGGCCCCTTTCTCTGTTTCCTACTCCAGTGCCCTGGTGCCAGCTTATGGAGATTGTCTGTGAATTGTAGCACTTAAAGGCATTTGACTTACACTATATGCTGTATTCAGAGGTAGCTCTAGGCTTTCATTCTCAAGACTGCCAACTCCTCTTGATCTCTTTTCTTTAGCCTTTGGAAGGATGTCACTTTTAACTTAAAAGTCAAAGACATTGATGCAGCAACTGAAGCAAAACACAGACTTGAAGAAAGACAAAGAGCAGAAGCCCGAGAAAGGAAGGAGAAGGAAATTCAATGGGAGACAAGGGTAAGCTGTTTTGCCCCAGCCTCCTACCTTCTCTTCCCCCCCTGTACCCCGAGCATTCATTTATTCATGCATTTCAATGAATGATGAAGAAGTGAAGTGCCAAACACTGTTTTTGAACAAGGGATCCCCAGTCCCTACCTGAAACTCATTTCAGTTTAATGAGGGGAGAAGACGTGACATAATAAAAAAGTAGAAAACAAATGTGTAACTAAATTCTCCCCCTTTCTTTTACAGTTGTTTCATGAAGATGGAGAATGTTGGGTTTATGATGAACCATTACTGAAACGTCTTGGTGCTGCCAAGCATTAGGTTGGGAAATGAAAAGTTTACACCTGATGACCAGGACAGTAGGCATAATTAAAGCAACAGTCTTCCTTCAGGAGAACCTGTTCACTCCTTTCTTATTGCAGTGGTTCCTATCTCAGGGATACTGGACTTTCTGAAGCATATGAACAATTAAAGCAGGAAAAGCTTCCCTTTTTTCTGCTTGTAGCAGTTACAATTTTGACTTCAGTTCTGAGAAAAACTTCAGGTTTTGAAAACAAGATATCTGCTCTTTTTCCAAACAAATCCTATGCTTTGAAAAGCATTTGTAAATCCAAGTCTCAAACTCTGCACTCTAGTACTGCTGTTAAGATATCCAACCTGTTTCCTAGTTCATATAATCTTTGGTTCTATAAATATACACGCACACACAAACACCTATAAATATACCTGATGCCAGATTTTTCAGAAGTACTGCATCTATTGTAAATATTCATTCTCAGAATTGTTTTAGAAAATTATTGCAATGTATTAAAATAAAGCATTAGGAAATTTCATGGTCTCACCTCAAATACCTTTTATTTTGGATTCGAACTGTTATTAAATTGTATCTAACTCTGGATTACAGTTTAATTATACTCAGTGCTTCTTAAGGCTCCATAAAGTAATTTTTAACAACCTTTATTTTTTTTAATGTGTGCCTCTTTTATTATCTTTATGGTTAAACTTGGAAGCCAATTATTTGGCAGCCTTGAATACAGGAACTAGCTTTTCACAAGGACTCTTAAAATAATGGAGGCTCCATCCTTTTCTTCACCCTCCCTTATACTCTGTGTTCTATCTTTAGGCCTCAACGTGCTATTCCCTGTAGTCTTCACTAAATTCATATAGCACATGTAGGGGTACCAACAAAAAGTTTACCCAAAATATTTTATTGCCTTAGAGGGTTGGGAAGAGTATATTTTTAGATCCTAACCCCACACTGAAAGAAAATATAATAGAAAGAATGCCACAGCAGCAAATGGCTCATTCTGAAGGGAAATACAGAACTATCTTTATTTAAAAATACATTAAAAAACCAAAAACACGTGTTAGTACCTAGCATTTAGGTACTAATAACACATTGGTTACATAGGGCCTCTCAAAACGTGAATTTACATCCTGAGAGAACACAGGCCAGGACTTCCCAAACTGGTGCTACAAGCTGCTACAGTAACCCTGGGTTGGTTAGTCTCAATAGAGGAGGAATAAAAAGTAAATCAAATTCTATGATGCCAGTGCAAAAATTCATGAAAGCCCTAAGGCAGTAGTAGTGTAACTCTGTAAAATTCAAACACATTTTTAAATACACACTGCTTCAGGCCAGTAAGACTGCAGTTTATTTGACTATCTTATGGTAGGGGAGAAGGCTGAGTGTTGATGAGAAAGCCCTGATATCAGTAATGGGGATGGTACATTCTACCAGCAGAGGAGAGGTTGGTAGGTAGGTTAGCTGCATCACTTCACAAGAAGAATTTGAATCCTCAGCAGAAGGGGTACCATCCTCTTCCAGCTCATATTTCCCATAACCAACAACCTGAAAGAGGCCGAAGACTCAAGGTGAGAAATATATCGACCAGATTTGGGCAAGTACCTGTTTAGAATCTCTCTGAGAACAACCCACACTCAGTGAATGACAACCCTGGGCAGGATGGAGCTACAGTTAACCATACTCACATGAACACTGAGCATTTTACTTCTTGGTCCTCTATGTGCCTTGAACCAGTTGACCAGGTCTGATTTTGAGAATGATTTCAGTGCTTCAATCTTACAGGGGAAGAGAAGATACAAAAAAAACATGTTAAAGAGAAAAGGCAGCTCATTTTAGACATAATGAGCACTTCATTTTATTCTTTCCAGACTTAGCTTGCCCCTAACCTTCCAGAGGATAGTGATGAACCTCTGTAACACACCTTCATGTTTCATAGCAATGATCTACACTGGTAGATAAGCAAGATGGGATAGCAGATGCTATAATTACAGCTGCATACCATACACTGCCAGAAAATTAAGTCTCCTTAGTGTCACCTCTCAGTTACATGGTAACTGAATACTCTGACTTAAGAAAATACAGCAACTATTAAAACAGGAACTCTCAATTTAAATAGCAGAATCCTTTTTTTCTCCAAAAAAATCAGTGGTGAACTTCAATATATATTAACACAAAAATAGAGCCACTCCGATTGAAATTGGTGGTGGTGGGTAAGGTTTAGTACTCTACTCACATGGCCATATAACGTGCTAGAGAGGCAAGTCGGAAAACTCAATATTTGATTAATTGAGTCAAGAAATGAACAAGTATGTAACAAGCCAGGATGAGTGTTCCAGGTTTATCTTCCATACAATACTAGTTTGCTTGGACCTGTGACTCCCGTGGAATAATGAACCCTCAGGGCTGTCTTGCTCTGAAAACCACTTACCTCATGGGCAAGGCGGTCAAAGAGATACTGTTGTGTTACCACTTCATTCCAGTTCCTATCCACCTCTTCCCCAAGGTGGGTATCCTCACACTCCTTCAGCTTAATCAGAGCTGTGACCTTTTGCAACCAAAAAGAGAGACACTTAGGTGTGGCATCACATCAGTTCCCCCCAGAATATACATGGCCCTGCCCAGACTGGCTTGTGATGGACCTGCCAGGATGACAGGGAGGGATGAAGCTAGGGGAACATTATGATTATATTATGGTGGGGCTATTAAAGCTTGAAAACTGGCCAGCACATAGCACTGTTAAGTCTGGTGTAGAATATACATGGCTCTGCCCAGACTGGCTTGTGATGGACCTGCCAGGATGACAGGGAGGGATGAAGCTAGGGGAACATTATGATTAGATTATGGTGGGGCTATTAAAGCTTGAAAACTGGCCAGCACATAGCACTGTTAAGTCTGGTGTCTTGAGGGCTTGTTGGCCAAGGGCCAAAAGACCAGGCCAGCGCAGTCACCTGAGTGTTGAATGCATCTTCAGTGAGATTCTCAATCTTCTCCTCAAAGCTAGAAAGAAACTCTTCTATCTTCTTATCAACAACTTCAGAGCTGAAACAAAAAAGTCATCCGAGACATGGTCTCAGGCAGAAGGCAAGGGAGGGAATTTATAGAACTAAGGCATATTTCCAAGAAAAAGTCTTACTATAATTTCCCAGTTCTCAGAATTCTACCCTAAGCTGAGACAGGGAAGAGAATGGGAAAGAACTCTTCCCCTGCCTTGCCCCCCACCCTCCAGCCCAATTTCCTGGTATCCTCATACTGAAGCAGTCACAGACATGCTTGACCATTACAAAGCTCAGAATCATTAAGGCCTTGTACTTCAGTTCCAGCACAAATGCCAAGTCAGGCATCCTTGCCTTCTCGTCCTCAGGTCTGCCTGAAGAGAAGAACATTGGCAAGCCCTGTGCAGTGATGACAAAATTTGAGTCAAGTCCTGTGGGACCAGTAGAACCATTGATCAGTCCTTGACCAGGCCATCTGTAACACCCTCCACCCCCAGTGACTAAATGGAGCAAACCCTGCTTGGTCAGAGTTTCCTGAGATTTAAGGAAGCACCTGTAGCCCTCATTCTCCGTGCCCAGAATAATGAGTTGGACCCATCCACTCTCTCCCTTACTCACTTGTATTTGGTTGCCTGAGTCCCCACGGTGACAGAGAATCCTAGAATCCCAGATGTGTTCCTACAGGTAGGGTAGACATGGTACCTACAGCCAGAGTGAAAAGTTGAATGAGCTCAAGTGGTCAACTGGGTCCTCCCCTCAGAGGCACTAGATATGAGTGGGAAGGGTTTTTGCCTATCCTTTCTAGCCCTGGAGGTCCTAAAAGAGGACTAGTTTTTTTTTCTTAATTATTTTGAAATATGACCAAACTGAAAACCTGATCATGGTCCAAGATGCAAATTCCAGAAGTTCTGACAAGTAGGTGTTATTCTATGGCATGGAAGGACCAAAGAGCTCTGAGAGGCTGCTCGGTCAGGATATCTGATAAACCTCAGCCTGTAAAGTAAGTCCCAGACACTCTTTTGAGTACAGTGCCCTTGTGAGCAGACTTACCCAAGGGTCTGCTTGGTTCGCAGGAAGTCAAAACAAGGCTCTTCCATATGCATCTGTAATTCAACGAACTACCCATCAGCCCAACTCCCCAGCAGAGAAACCTCCATTTCTTCCCCACAAAGTGTTCAACATACTTCCAAATTCCAACCTCCCTTACTGCCTTCTCCCTAAATGGCCCAGACCTCCCATGCTTATACCGGGTGAGAACACCAAATGACCATCTTATCTTCCAATCATAGGTCTCTGATCGCCCCAAGTCCTTAGCCCCCAGGCAGAAAGGCTCAGCCTCACAGTGGATCAGGAGCTCCTGAAAACCTCAAGTCTCCTTTAAACACTTACCACAAGCAGCTCCATAAGAGTATATTCTCTCAGACTCCTGGTACCTGACTGAAAGAAGAAAGTGGTCAAACCAACTAAATATGCAATGGCTTACTGGGCTTTTTAATAATCCAGCTATTCTTGGCAACCATTTATCATCCCCACTCTTCTCTTCCCGTAAGAGAGTTAATTGTACCTTCTACTAGTATACTTTCGACAACTTTGTTTAGATATCTGCCCTTCCCACTAGACAAGGTCTGTGAGGACAGGAATCCTGTTTGATCATTTGTATTCCCAGCATTAACAAAGAATTACAGGTAGACAGGGAGTTGAGTCCAATAATCCCTGACCTGTCAGCTCCTGCCTGGAGGACCCAATGGATCCAGAGGACACATTCTAAAATCAAGTATTGCAGTTCAAAGCCCTAAGGAAGAGAGCAGGAAATGTTTGGGGATCATGAAGGGTATCCAGATCTATTCCTCAGGTGGAGAGAAAATGAATAGGACCATCCGCAGCTATACACAGGGACCCACACTTAGGTGATAAGAAAAATACCTAAGAGGCAGAAACCACACTTGGGGACCACATGCTGGTTGTCATGGAAACAAAATAACAGAATAAAAGAGGGCAGGAGACCAATAAGCAAGGATGTGCTAGTGCATTCCAGTGTCAGGCAGGCTCTTGCAGGGTTCTCTGACACAGACTCATTTTTCTTCCCACTTTACCAGAGGAAGAAGCTAAAGCCTGTGTGAACTGCAAGTCCTGATTAGTCAGCACTGATATTTCCCGTTTCCCTCTAAAAGAGCTGCAACAAAACCAGTCAAACCATGTATCAATTTTCTGTTCAAAATCCTCTATGTGAGAAGGAAAATGGTTTCTTAAATGAAGCAGGTTGTATTAGAAGCTAGTTCTAAGAGGTAACTGATGGAAAGCAGCTCCACAGACAGTCTTACAATATGAAATCCTGCCTAAAACTGGAGAAGTGTTTCTATATCTGGGTTTGGAGCAGTCAGAGAGAGAGAACCTCGTAGAACCTAGAAAAGAGTACAGGTTGGAATGCTATAGCCAGGGAAACAGGCTCCACAGAGAAGTTGGGTCTAAAGGGAAAGACAAAAATCTAACCAAGCTCCAGAAATCAAGGGACTCATTAAGATTAGGACAAGGTTCAACATCACTAAAGAGAGATGGTCATGACATCAGGCAGGTGAATTTGTTTCTGACAACCAGACCAGGACAATGTCAGGACAGGACTCAGGCCCAGGGCCAGAAACACAATAAAAGGACAAAGATGACAGTAAGAAGGACATGCCACCCAAGCCCAGTTGTGAAGTCTTCACGAGGCCTGAGAAAGAAGTGACTTCATGCAGGGAACCCAGGACCATAATGACAGCTATAGGAGCCCCAGAGTTTGGGAATTCAGAGATCAGGCTGGGCAGGCACAAATTTAGGGAAGATCCCCATAGTCCTAAAAGTGAGTGGGACTAACCACAGGCTAAAGCAGGCTATGGGCCAATTGAGTTACTGGAAAGCACTTCCTTATTTAAGCTCCACCTCACCCCTCCAGAATGTTGTGGGAAGAAAACAGAATCTGAGGACAGAGCAATGAATTTGAGGCCCAGATGGTTATGACCTCAGGCAAGTAAGGGGCTCTGAACCTTGGATTTATCACCCATAAAATAGAAGTGATAAATCCCCTCTCTCAGGTGCTTTGAAACCTTCATGATTCTGGTAGTCATTCTGTTTGGTGTATAGTCATTGCTTGGCTATGTTTACCTGTGCCTCTTTTTCAAAACTATCCTTTTAACAAATGTCATCCTGCTGCTTGCAGTTCTGTCAGAGGAACACATAGGAATTTCCACCTACACTTCAGTCTCTGTCCCTCTAGACTAGTGGTTAGGTGATTAATGAAGCAAGACCTCGCTGTGACTGTATATGGATCCATTTTACTGACAAGAACACAATTTTTAAATGTAGTTGCTTCAAGATGACAAATGGCCCCAAGCATAAAACTACTCAAGTATCTTCAAAAGGGCCTTGAAGGTCATTGGGTTTCTCATTCCTAGGTACTCTGGACCTTCCATCAGGCTTCAGTGCACTAGAGGAACTTAGCCAAAGGATTACTGTACAATGAATAGGGCCAACTGACCTGGTAGTACACAGTGACTTCGGAGTTGGCATCACCCTTGTTCAGAGCTCTCACTTTGCACAGGTGGTGGCCATTGGGCAGCTCTACCACCTGGAACTGCACAGGCATCTCCTGCTCCAGAGGCATGAAGTTTAGCTTGCTGCGAAAGAATCAGCGTGGGTCTCTGAGGCAGTGCTTTTATCCTCTTACTCCCACCCAAAAACTATGAAGAAGCAGCCAGGCCTTCTATAGTCCTTTCTGAATTCCTTTGTTTATACCAGGCTCAAGAAAATCTACTACCACAAGCAGTATTTCAATTGTAGGTTTAATAACAATTAGCTGAGTTGTGGCTCAATGTCCTCTTGCTGGTAAGAACACATTACCCGCAAAGAGAAAACTTAAACCAATACTTACTCAACAACGTATTTTAGGAAATCCATAGATTCCTGGGAGGCAAAAGAGAAGAAAATAACTACATTAGGCACTCTTGACGTTAATTTCACCCAGAACCAGCTAATATCAATGTTCTAATCCTTGGGGAGCTCTGGATAGCATTAGGAAAGCAGATACTATGTATTCTGTCACCTGAACGCTGGACAATTTATTCATTGATTGGTCTAATAATTCACTGATTCACTACTGATTTTGTTTGTTGAATACTAAATGGCTCTTAACTGAACAGCTTCCTTTCTGGCTCCCTTGGCACTCTTTACCTGTACACTGTAACCCTTTCTCCACTATTGTTCAGGGTCAGTTTACCTAACTAGGCTGTAACCTCTATGACAACCGTGACTGTGTTTTAGAAATGTAGGCCCATTGACACAGACAGAGCTTGGATAGAGTAAGCAATAGAATAACACTTAACACTAAGTGAATATATCCTCTTCCCCTCTCAACACTTCTGTTTTCTTATCTATAAAGTGAGGGATAAATGGAGGGGTGAGCTCATCTCTAAACTGATTTCTACTGGGGGCAATTCATGCTACAAAGTCCTCTAGACCAAAAGCCCCTGCCTGGTACTCCCCACTGTGCTCAGAGAAATAGGCAGCTATACTTACTCTTCTCTCTGTGGGTTGAGACTTTTAAAATTCTTTCTGTGTAGGGCTGGCCCCATGGCGCACTCGGGAGAGTGCAGCACTGGGAGCGCAGCGACGCTCCCGCCGCGGGTTCAGATCCCATATAGTCATGGCCGGTGCGCTCACTGGCTGAGCGCGGTGCGGGCGACACCACACCAAGGGTTGCGATCCCCTTACCGGTCACGAAAAAGAAAAAAGAAAAAAAAAAATTCTTTCTGTGTAGGGCTGGCCCCATGGCGCACTCGGGAGAGTGCAGCACTGGGAGCGCAGCGACGCTCCCGCCGCGGGTTCAGATCCCATATAGTCATGGCCGGTGCGCTCACTGGCTGAGCGCGGTGCGGGCGACACCACACCAAGGGTTGCGATCCCCTTACCGGTCACGAAAAAGAAAAAAGAAAAAAAAAAATTCTTTCTGTGGGCAGGACACAAACTAAGGCTAGTTTGGGGGTTAGGAATAAAGACAAAGAGGAAGCGAAGAATAGCAGCCACAATTTCAAGAATGACACATATATTCTTTCAAAGGGCCAGTCCTGAGAAACTGGGAGGCCATGAATGAAGATGACTTAGTCAATAGCCAAAGAGTTTAGGGAGAGTCCCAAACAAGCACTCTCGCCTGGAAAAGGCCTTAGTTAGATATAAGACCCCACAGACTCAATATGTATCAGAACAAACTCCTCATATGTTCTCAATCCTACTACTGTTCCTGCTCTCCCACCAACCCACTGTTTTCAAGTAAGAAATTTGGGCATCATCCTAGACTCCTCCCCCTCATCCCCCATCCAATTAGTCAGTGAGTTTGGGCCATCTTCTACCTCACTATTTCTTAAACACTTCTTTTTCATTTATTTGATTTAACCTCAAGCTTCATTATTTCTCACTTCAACTTTTTTGTGTGTCATAAAAAAAATGTAACATAAAGTTTATCATAACCATTTTTTAAATGTACAGTTCAGTAGTGTTAACTATATTCACACTATCATTAAATAGATTACCAGAACTTTTTCATCTTGCAAACCAAAATTCTATACCCAGTAAAAACAAGAATTCCCTTCTTTCCCTCTCCTTTGTAGCCCCTGAAAACCACCATTCTACTTTCTGTTTTTATGAATTTGACTACTTTAGATACCTCATGTAAGTGGAATCATACTTCACTTCAACATTTATAACAGTCTCATAACTGGTGTCTCTCGATATTCTTAAACACAAATCCTCTTAAATCCTTCAAAGGTTCTCCATTTGCTACAGGATAAAAGCCCCAGCTCCTTAGCTTGACACACAAGCTTAACATACATGTTCTGATTATGTATATATGTATACATCCCTCAACCACTCCCCTCATCCCATTTTAATCTCCACATTAAACTGCTTATGGTTTCCACATACAATCTTCAACAAATGTTACCAACAGCATAGCATATATAAGCATACTTCAAAAAGTTCACGGATTCATTTATCTTTTAATTCTATTTTTCCACAAATCTTTTGAAGTATGCTCATTAATGACAAACCCATTTCACTCAAAGTTCTGATCCATTACCAGCAGTATCCCTCATAAGAAAAAAGTTACGTAGCATCAGTGGGATCAGATAACTCTTAAACAGAATATGATAATGCTGGCCTGCCAAAACTATACAGCTTCCCCTTTAGAGAAAAACTAATGCAATTACAGAGTCCAAAACCACATTCAGACCTAGCCCGCAGTAACAGAGCACCTCACACTTACTGTGCTTGTGACATTCCCTTGCACCAGGCCCTCAACAAAGAGCTGGGATTTGAACTCTTTGATGAAGTTCAGCAGAGACTCAAGGGAAAGGCCATCCATCAAAGCCCGGTACTTGTCAATCATAGACCAACGGGCATATTCCAGGATTAAAAGCCGCACGTCTCTGTATAGAAGACAGGAAAAAAAATCAAAGGTTTGTTTTAAGAAATTAATCTTAATAATAAGGAAATATATGCGTATCCCCATATGAGCCAGCCATCAAAAATATATATATATATATATATTTGATCAAGTTTCTATCAATGATGTGCTTCTAAAGAGAGATGATTTCTATCACAACTTAAGATGGGGAAGCAATACTATAATCACCAAATATATATATATATATATATATTTGATCAAGTTTCTATCAATGATGTGTTTCTAAAGAGAGATGATTTCTATCACAACTTAAGATGGGGAAGCAATACTATAATCACCAAAAAGCATTTAAAATTACATACACATATTTTTAAATAGATATTCCCCAGTATAATATGTCTCAGTTGCAGAGTAAAATATTTCACATAAGTTGACAGATGAGTCAAGTTTACCCAGTCATACACGAATTTAAAATTATTACTATTTTGGTTTAAAATCTTAATAAAATTTTATTAAATACTGGAGGCCACCATTCTGGGTATCTATTATTGCAGTGACAATACAGTATAAGTAATTGCTCTAGTCCAAAATCAGACTAACTTCACCCCTTATCTCCACAACTCCCACACCACCCCCAATAAGTTGTTTGAACTTGGCAAGTTTCCTAACATCTGTGACTCAATTTCTTCATTCATGAAACAAGGAAAGTAATAATAGAGTTTTGGTGAAGATTAAATGAATAAATGTACATAAAGTTCTTAGACTAAATCTAGCATATAAATCTTCAATAAATAGAGGTTGTATTACTATCATTCTATCACACTTTAATAAAGTAAATTTCTAGAGTTATTAGATTTTAATAAAGTAGTATTTAATAAAATACTATTTTTATAAATAAAATTAAAGCAGTATTCAGGAGTTATTGGATACAGAGGTCAATTCAGGAGTTACTACATACACAGGGCTATTCATCATCCTATCAACGATTGCAGACAACTCTTTCCAACTTATATTTGGTTGTTAGCTTTTTGTGATCAAATTATCAGTTACTACATGGCTGACTCTTAACCCCTTCTTCCCCTGCTTTCTAATTCTGGTAATTTATGGGCTCATTTTAACTGTGTCAAAAGCAGGGCCTCTATATAAGGTTGTGCTGTTTGTTCATCATTACAGACACCCAACAAGGAAGTAGGGGTTTGCAAGCACATACACAAAAGGGTATATGCTCAGAGAGGAGTTTTCTCTCCCTTTCACAAAAGCTCCACCTGTTGATAGAGGGTACACTAAAGGGGTACTTTTATCTGATTCACACAAAGGTATTCTGTGGGCTACTATTAGCCCTGGACTAAAGCAAGTACTGGTTCTGATGGAAGGCCTAAAGGGGTGCCTATTAGCAGAGGTTTACACATTAGCATATAGACTGTTCATCTGCCTTTTTGATCTATTCTGGAACTTTGGCTGAATTCTGCATAGTTGAGGTTGCCAGATAAGTGACATGTTGAACAATTTAATGGAACTGCTCGTCATACCACCCAACATACTAAAATCAGCAGTAAACAATTTTGGGCTACAACAAAGCCAGCACTTTTTTAAGTGTTATTTACTTATAAAGACAGGAAAAAACACGCTTATTTACTTTCAGCCTTCTAATCAAGTACAGTAGGCTGCTTTCAGTCCGATTCAGATAGCTACTTAAGCTGGGCTTAGAAATCCTATTAACGCTGACCTTATGGTCTGGTTTCCTAAACCACAGCAACAATTCAAACACATCTAAAAATTAGCACTGAAAGTATAGCCTCATCCACCACACCTATTCAGGCCCTCCAAATATAATTTGATCTCATGTATACCCACTTGGCCAGAGTCTCAGGCTTGATGAGGATGTTAAAGTAGGTCTTCTTCAACTGCTCAGTTATCATTGTAAAGACAGCTGGTGTGGAATTGAACTCAGTTAGGTAGTCAATAATGAGCTGAAACAGTAGCTAAAAGGAAAACAAAAGAAGTACTTTAAGTGGAGAAACATGTAAATCCACTAAATTTTGGAGAGAAAAATGTTTCTTTTTGGTTTTTACCAGGGGCCCATCATGGTTGTAGGCACTGTGGAAGACACAAGAAAAGTACTACTGACTCAAAAGAACCTTCAGGGGCCAAAATCCTCAATAATTGTCAAATTTGGAGCAATGATTCTTCATTTTTTATCATTTTCATGGATATTCTCATACATCTTTTTCCTCCAAATGAATAAACAGGTATTTTATTTTTTTTCACAATACTGTAAGTGGAATATTTGTTTCTATCCATTTCTAAGTTGACATTGCTACTATGGGGGAAAAAAGCCATTGCTTTGGATATTCTGATCTTATGACTAGCCACAACACACCAAATTATTTTAGTAGTGTCTTAATTTTTCTAAGAATACACTCATATCATCTTCAAAAAAATTTTTTCCAAGAAAGTTTTCATTTTATTTCACTTTTTCATTTTATTGTAGTAGTCAGAGCCTACAAAATGATGTTGAATAATAGAGGTGGTTGTGGGTTATTCTTGGCTTGTTCCTGATTCTAATGTTCAGCCTTTCATCAGTTAATGTAACAATTGCCGTTACTGTTTTTTAATTAAGGCTTTTATTGTGTTTAAGTAATTTCCCTCCATTCCTTTTTATTAGGAATGCCAACTCAAATTTATCAAATGATTTTTTGACATTTATCATTATATTCACAGTGGTTCTCTTTTGACTTGTGTTATAATGAATTATGTTTATCAACTTCCTAATACTGAACAATCCTGGCATTCCTGGTACTTGGTCATGGTGAATTATTCTTTTTCCTATATTGGATTTAATTTTCAAATTTTTAGGAAGTTTGTATCTATATATTCTATAGGTGAAATTGGTCCATAGTTTTCTTTTCCTTTTTATTTTTATTTTTTTGGTGGCTGGCTGGTACGGGGATCCTAACCCTTGACCTTGGTATTAATAACACTGCACTCTAACCAACGGAGCCAACCAGCCAGCCGGTCTCCAGTTTTGTATACACAGATATATATGTTCTATATTAGGTTTTAATATTAAGGGTAGGTAAGCGTCATAAAATGAAGAACATCAAACACTTCTCTACAGTTTATATTTTTAAAAAGCTTTCCAGCTAATTCCCAAACATACTTTCCAAATGAAAACCACTACATTAGGCTTTAATCTGTTTGAATCTTAAGCTACATTATATTTAGGCTTTTGGAGGCTGACAAAAGCAGAATATCCCATGGTGCCTCCTCTTAAGACCAATCTTTGTTCCCTGGGTAGACAGAGAGCAGTGTGGGTACGAAGGCAAGAGCTATATTCCTTTCTTGGGTTTTTGCCAACATGGAGGCTATCGCTTCCGAGAATAGGTCTAACTAACTTCTGGCAGGACCTTTCCTCTAGAATTTTTCTTGTATGAACCCAGTTACACAAACCTTAATATAATATATATTCTACCCAAGAAACCTAGATATAAAATTTGTTTTGGGGTACATTATATTATTTTACCTGGTATTTAAAAATTTGACTCCCTTAGCTATCATCCCATATTATTTTATTCTCTGCTTATGAAGTTTTTGACAAAGCGACACTAGAACACATTCCTTACCAAGAGGTAAATTACTGATATGATATAGACACTGTTTCTAAAAGGCTTATAAACTTAGAAGAGAAACAAGACATACACATTGAAACAATGGGAGAGAGTGCAAGAAGAGGAAGAAAGGGCACAAACATTTGAGTTCTATTCTATATCAGGCAATGTGCCAGGTCCTTTAAATTTGTTATTGCTATATGGTAAGAAATTTAGCTCAAACCAGACTTAAATGCCAGTGTTGGCTGCAGAGAAATTGACCACAAAGGGAAATGAAATCAATCCTAAAGCACAAGCTGTGCTGTATGTATTGCCAATAATTCATGAAATATATGTTGTTCTTATATATGGTCAGTCAAAGTTAGAATAACTATCATAGCCAAGAAAACTCATGATAAACCACATTAATAAATATTTCCACGTACAGCACCCCATTCACAAACCTCTATGCTTGGTGCTATCGGGGCAAAAAACATAAATATAATATTTTAAAGCTCTCTGAGGAAAACAGAGTACTTGTACTTACAGGTAGTTTATGGTTGAATCCTTTCACTCGAATAATTAAACCATGTTCTCCAGCTACCAGTTTATACTCCAGTTGTGCCACATCTGCTTCATAAGCTGGTTCCGCAAGGTTATGAGTAAGGATGTTGACAAAGATATCAAAGAGGACCACACTGAGAAGTAGAAAATGCATATAGCATTATTAATTGGCAAGAAAGCCATGAAGAAATAGATATGCTTCAATTTACAGTAAGAAAATTCTCTTTTAGAAGGGTGTTAATTTCCTACTCCAGAATATAAAACTATACTAATTTAATTCAAAAGTAAACAGATATAGCTTACTCAGGACTCAGATTCATAGGTGCATTATAGAACTCCTACCTTCAACAGTGCTTCCCAATCTTTTTCATGTCATGTACACATAGAAAATGATAATATTTATATTGCACAACAGAATAAATGAGATAGGCATCAGAGGCAACTGGCCTAAAGACTCTGGCTACCCTCCAGGCTTAGGCTTCTTACTGATGAATTTAAAATATCAGGGAAAGGAAGGAGGAGGAGAATGCATTTTTTAGAATGGATATAAGTAAATTTTAGTGCTGCTTGTCATTTAAGGTTGGATTTTATAGTTAAGTGGCAAATGAAAGTAAGAAGTGCACTAAAATTTCCTGAGCACCTCCTATGATTCAGGAACATTTTAGGGTCTCTGACCTCCTACAATGTAGCTATCTACATAAATACATAAGTAACTTCCTAAGAATAAAGTATAATCACATTCCTTGGCAGTTTTTAAATACAGGATCAACAGATCCATCAGTCCTCATTATATACTAGAAGCTAACCCAAACTGATCTCTAAGGAACTTTCCCAATCCAGTAAGTCTATTACTAGCCTATCAGCATGTTTTACTTATGGGTGCTGGCCGTGGAGCAGCCTCAGTTCTATATTAATGTTTAGTATTGATACAAATAACTTGTTTGGAGCACAGAATATGTATGTAAATTAGCAACACAGCTCAAGTAAGGATAAAGAACATGATGGAACGATTCAGAATAAAACAAACAAAATAATTTTCAACAAAATAAAATTATTCCGGAAAAGACGACAATTGCTTACTTTGTTGCAGACTTCTGTATCAAAGGTGAGATCAGATGGAAACGTATATATGCTGAAAGAAAAAACACCATAGATAAAACATATAGAAGACCAGAGGCCTCAAATATTTTTTTATACACCTGCTATTTTTCCCTAATTTTTTTTAAATTCTAAAATAAGATATTACTCCTTAAATCCTCATTACATTTTTATTCTTAAGGATCTTTAAAAAATAATATTTACCATTCCAAACAAAGTGTCTTATAAGGCACACTTTAATGTATGGGAATCAGATATACAGCTGGCCCTCAGTATCCATGCGTTCCACATTCATAGATTCAATCAACCATATATCAAAAATACTCAAAAAAAGAAAAAATAGTTTGTGTACTAAGTATAGACTTTTTATATGTACAGACTTTTTTTATACGGACAGAATGCAGTTTTTTTATATATATATACAGAATAATTTCCTTCATCTACTCTTACTCTATCTCTTTTTAAAAATAATATTCAAATACCACCAACTCCTTAAGATAGCCAAACACCTGGCTCTGCTTTCATTTAACTGAAGGAAAAATATCTGAAAACAATTTCATCCTGGGCTTGAATTTTTATTTCCTGGAAATTGGAGGATCTATAAGGATTACTGTGACAGCACAGGAGCACAGTATAAATCCGATAAATAAGCCTAGAAAAAGTCTTCAAATGGAAGGGGAAGGGGAAAAGAAGGCAGACAACAAACACAGGAAAAAAAGGTTGTTACAAAGTAGAGAAAAATCTGTTTTACTTATTTTACTCCTTTTATGGAGGGCAACATTTTACCTTTGGGGATTTTGAATTTGTTGTCTTTCTTATACCACAGGCAACCTTGTGGAGTGTTCACAATTTTAACAGGGTATTCTGTTTCAGGGCAATCAAAAGCCTTTAACGTAAAGTCCGTGGCTAAGAAAAGAAAAGAGAAATAATTCATTCAGGTATTTCAGCAGGATTCCCAGCAATTTGTTCTTGACCTCAAAAGTGTACGTAACTTTTCTTTGTGGCAAAAATAAGCCAAATTCAAATACTGGAGTACAGTAAATTAGTAGAACAATACTGAAAACAAAACTATCTTGGTCTTAAACTAAACTAAGATCTATAATTTCCTAACAGTTGACTCTGATCTCCACACATTCTGTTTCACTCCCTTTCTCAAAGACAATCTTAACTGTAAGAGGGACCTTTGGTCAGGATAGTCATATAAACCCCTTTGTGAATGAAATCACTCTTCTTGGGTTTTGGTGACTGGCCAGCACGGGGATCTGAACCCTTGACCTTGGTGTTATAACTCTCACAATGTTGTGCAACCACTGCTTCTGTCTAGTTGCTTCTAACCATCTAAGCTAACTGGCCAGCCCTGAAACCATTCTTGAATGAGAATGTCTTTTATCAACCTTACGGATATTTGAAAGATTACAAAATAGTTCTGCTCAAAGTGAAATTTGTCCTCTCAAAATGTTTCATCAACATGTAGGTGAGAAACAGCTAATTTTTTAAAAAATTAAGACTAAAAAATTTTTTTGCTATTATTTAGTTTTTAAAACTGGGTTGTTTAGAAATTTAAAGTTTGGGGCCGGCCCGGTGGCTCACTCGGGAGAGTGCGGTGCTAACACCAAGGCCCCGGGTTTGGATCCCATATAGGGATGGCCGGTTCACTCACTGGCTGAGCGTGGTGCTGACAACACCAAGTCAAGGGTTAAGATCCCCTTACCGGTCATCTTTAAAAAAAAAAAAAAAAAAAAAAGAAATTTAAAGTTAAAGATGTAGAATTGAATTGTCCAAAATACACAAGACTTTTTTTTTTTAAGGCTTTTTGTCTTATTCCCTAATTAAGGTGAGAGTCACACAACATAAAATTAATCTTTTTTTTTTTTTCCCTTTTTTTGTCTTTTTTTTACTGACCGGTAACAGGATCGCAACCCTCTGTGTTGCGCCCGCACCGCGCTCAGCCAGTGAGCGGGAACCGGTCTCCACATGGGATCCGAACCCTCGGCAGGAGCGCCGCCGTGCTCCCAAGCAGCGCACTCTCCAGTGCGCCACCGGGCCAGCCCAAAATTAATCATTTTAAAGTTAACAATTCAGGGGCATTGAAACACTCACAATGTTGTGCAACCACTGCTTCTATCTAGTTCCAAAACATTCTCATCTCCTCAAAAAGAAACCCCATAGTCATTAAGGAGTCATTCCCCATTCCCTACTCCCCTAACCCCTAGCAACCATCAGTCTATGTTCTGTCTCTATGGATTTACCTATTCTGGATACTTCATATTAATGGACTCATACAATATGTAACCTTCTGTGTCTAGCTTCTTTCACTTGGCATGACGTTTTCAAGATTCATCAACATTATAGAATCTGTCAGGACTTTATTTCTTTTTATGACTGAGTAATATTCTAAAGTATGTATACACCACAATTTGTTTATCTACTCATCCACTGAGGAACATTTGAGCTGTTTCCATCTTTTGGCTATTATGAATAGTGCTGCTATGAACATGCATGTATATATATTTGTCTGAGTACGTGTTTTCTATTCTTTTGGTATAACTAGGAGTGGAATTGCTAGGAAATAAGACGTTCTGAGTAAATCATAAACAACTATAAATCCTTTGACATAGGATCAGTAGCATTCAAATTTTTTTTTACCACAACTCACAGCTGGAAATGTATTTTCCACTGCAAGCTAGCTGACAGATATACATATATATTACCTATCTGGAACATAAGTTCTTGAAATAATTCTCTTCCTATATTCAATAAAATATTTTACTATATCCCATTCTAATTGATTTTTTAATGTTTTCACAGCTCATTAAACTGACTTCACAACCCATTACATTGATTTCATAACCTAAACGGGATGCAAACTGCAGTTGGAAAAACAGTAGAACATCTTGACAAAATAATGAAAATTTCTAAGGAAACTGATGTGAAAGGATCAGCTATGATGTACAATAAAAAGCATAAACTTCAGAGAGCTCCAAGATCTGTGTTTAAGTCCTAGTTTCTCCATTTGCCCACTGAATAGTCTTGGACAAATCACTTTGCCTTTCTGAACCTCAGTTTTCTCATTCAGAGAAGTAAGAAAATAGTAATGCTTGCTCCAGGATGTTATTGGGAATCTCAAATACAAATTCATATGGTACTTTGTAAAACATAATGTACTATACAGGTGCATTTTGTTTATTAGTAAATGGATATATTATTTATAATGATAGCTATTTTGCTGACCTATGTACTTGTTTTCAGCTGGAAGATGAAGATCTGGATTTAATTCAAAATTACTCTTCCAGAGTTCGGCCCAAGAGTTTTCAACATCTGTAGAAAGGAAAAACAAACTGATTCAATAAACAACACAATGTTCAGAATTCTCTTAACAAGCCAGTCATCAGCTGGCCTCTACAAATCAATTCTCCTTTCTCAGGAATACTGTGACTGACATATCCAGGCATTCTAGAATCTAGACACTCAAAGTGTGGTCCCAGCAGCACTGGGATTGCCTGGGAGATTGTTACAAATGCAGAATCTCAAGCCCTACCCAGACCCACTAAATCGAATACATATTTTAATAAGATCTCCAGGTGATGCGCATGCACAGTGAAGTTGAGAAACACTTTTCTAAAGTGAAGTTAAAACTCTGCCCCCAAAATACAAAGACAAAAGGATTTTTTCACTAACTAATATAAACACAGCAGAAAAATAAGTTCTTGCAAAGTAGTATGCTTCACTTCAAAGTGAACTTTTTAAAAATTATAACCTTTTCTCCACAAGAACCATCAGAAAAATTATCGAATAAAAATTCCCAGGTGAGACAAGATATACCTAAATGTAGGACCAATGTTCAAATGTTACCTTCTATACTATACTGAGTCCCAAACCATTTCTCCTTGAGGTCACATTTTCCTTCATTAGCACCAGACAGTAGAACAAGATTTGCTTTTTGAGGAACTAACTGATGAAGGGCTTCAGCAATGACCTAATTGGGGGATGGGGAGAGACAAATACAATAACAATTTTAACCTAATACATCTCTGTTAAAAAAAGAAAAGGGCAAAGTCACATTGTTAGACACCCCAAAATCCTAGAATCTTGATGCTCATGAAACTATTACTCTACTCCACAAACACTATAAGTTACAAAGCTTTATTAGTTTCAAAAACTTTTTTTCAGCTTTATTCAGGTATGATTGACAAATATCAAATATGGGGGGTTTTTTTGTCCTTTTTTTTTTGAGACCGGCCGCACCACGCTCAGCCAATGAGCGCACTGGCAGCCATCCCTATATAGGATCCGAACCTGCGGCGGGAGCACTCCTGCGCTCCCAGTGCCGCACTCTCCCGAGTGTGCCATGGGCTCGGCCCCAAATATGTTTTTTGATAATGCTTTAAACCATGCTCATCTCAAATCCCACATATTAACAGCACCAGCAGTAAAAATAGCTATCATTTACTAAGCTCTTACTACGTGCCAGGAAGTGTTTAACATACGTTATTTCATTTAATCCTAAAAATAATCCTGAAGTATACCCATTTTACAGAAAATAACACTCTGCTTCAGAGGTTAAAGGTTAAGTAATTTGCTTAGGTTAAAGACTATGGAATTTGCACAGCACAATACAGCAAAAAGTGGCAAAAGTGGAGTTCTAACCAAGTTTGTACATGATTCGAGAGACTATGCCCTAACAGCTATGTTTTATACCACTTCAATACTCAAGAATCAGTAAAATGATGCCAGTGTAGAACCTCCTTCAATAATTCTCCAGATATGATAAGGACTGTACACAGGATTTTGTGGGTTAATTTGCAACCTAAGTACCATTCAAACACCATATCTTTGAGAAAAAACAACTGGTGGTTCAGAAAAAAATACAGGGGCCCCTGGGCATAACCATCCTAGGCAGAAGGTAAGAATGTGTAGTTGTTAACTTCTTCTTTACCTTTCCCTATCCTCTTTAAAACTAGTAATTTTGGAATACCATTTGCCAAAGTTTCTCAGCCTCAGCACTATTAACATCTTGAGCCAGATAATTCTTTGTTATAGGGTGCTGTCCTCTGTATAGGATATTTAGCAGTATCTCTGGCTTCCACCCACTAGATTTCAGGAGCACCCCACCCTCTACCCCCAAGCTGTGAAAACCAAAATGTCTTCATATACTGATAAATGTTCCCTGGGCAGCAAAATTACCCCTGGTTAACTACTGCTACCCTATATAGCAAAATATATAAAGGAAAATGACTTATTCCCCAGTAATGGAGGAATGACCCTGACCAACTATTTATTTTTATATAATATTACCTATAAGTCATATGTTTCTAATCAAGAGAATCATATATTTTTCTTACAAATATTTTCAAAATGATTAAAAATTTAATTGTTCTGAGTCTCCAATTGAATTAAAACATAAACTAGACAACTCTTTAAGCATGTTTACCAACTAAACCATATAATTCTTAGGAACTGCTTTAACTATTTTAATAGATGTTTCAACACATGAAAAGCTGTAAAAATAGTACAGAAGAAGACTTGATTTTCTCCTTTCATACTAAAATATAATCATGTAAAAGAATCATGAAAAACTATCCACATAACTATTGATATTTCTTTTATTTAAACAAACAAAAATCCTGATTAAATATAACCAAGTTTTCTCCGTTCCAACAGCTGTTAAGTACATCTCTGTAGTTTCTCACCCTCCTCTTTTCCTAAAACTAAGTTTTAGAAGTGGAAACCTCCTTACTTCTGGTTTGTATTCAAAAAGAAGCTGGTCTCCAGTGAGAAAGTCCTGCAGTGGATACAGTTGCATGTTTTCACACATGTTTTCCACATACTCAACTGGATCTGTCTGTAAAGAGGTAAAATTATTTCACACCAGAACCTCTCCATTATGATCCTTAATTTGCCACAACATACAAATACTCTCTTTTTTTAACAATAAAACCAAAAGCTTCCGAACAGATATAACCAGATATAATTGCAGCTTAAGTATCGGATGCTCAGAATTCTAAGAAAACAGCTGGAGCTACTACCTTTTAAGTTCAGAACAATTACCACACTGAACTATAAATGCTTGTTTACCTGTGAAGTGCCCTACATGACTGTGAGGTCAATAAAGAAAGGGAACCTATCACTATAGCACTATCACCAAAAAACTATTTGTAATCATCAATCAAACCAATGAGGAAATCAAAATGTGAGTGTCATTAGGTAAAAGTGTTGAGATAAGAAGTTATATTAATCAGGACACTATCTCAGTTTCAAACTAAAAGCATCACTCTAAGTTCTCTGCCCCATGAAATGGAAATACAATCAATTCAAGTATTTAACGAGCACCCTGATACCCAGAAACTTAAAAATGACAGGTCCTTCAGATAGCAAGTGGTTCCATTCCCACATTTTACAATAAGGATTGATTAGGTGACACTCTCAAGGTCACACAGTGAGTGACAGACAAAGCAGACATTAGAATTCTGGTCTCCTAATGTTATCTGCATACTCTTCCCAAAACACTGCACTGCCAGTCCTTTACTGGACAATGTGGGTTTTTTCTCATCTAATGGAAGACAGAATACAAGTGAAGGTTACTGCATTCATGGAGGGGAAATGAGACATGCGTACATAAAATTAGAGACCATAGGTATATGTTATCTCCTACATTTTCACATAAAAAATAAAATAAGGAAAAAGTAAGGAAAGATTCACTGCTAGCTTTTTCTACCCTATTTCAGGAAACATTCCTGAATCATCAAGTTGACTAGTCACTACAGTGCTATTTATTGTTTAAAATGATGACTCTCACTATATTCTAATTTTTTTAATCAGTTATCTTCACCAGCTATTTACTTATAACTTAATTGCTCTAATCAGTATGGTATAAAATTGAGTGACTGAAAGTATTTCCTATGAATAACACCAAGGACTATGGCTGAAAAACAGATCTTTGATGCCAAGGCAATAGAGAAAATACTGGGGAAAAAACACTTAAATGTTATCTTTTAATTTTTTTGAAGATAAAATTCACATACCATAAAATTCACCCTTTTAAAGTGTACAATTTAGTTGCTTTTAGTATATTCACAAAGTTGTGCAACCATCACCACTATCTAGTTCCAGAACACTTTCATCACCCCAAAAGGAAAATTCATACCCATTAGGCAGTTGCTCCTCACGACTCACTCCCCTCAGTCCCTGACAGCCATTAGTCTGTTACGTCTCTATGAATTTACTTATTCTGGGTATTTCAAATAAATGAACCCATATAATATGTTAAATTTTGTGCCTGGCTTCTTTCACTTAGCATAATGTCTCAAGGTTCATCCATGTTATAGCATAAATCATTCTTTTATGACTGAATAATATTCCACAATATTATTATAATAATATAATATTCCATAATATGTTTTATTTATCCAATCATCGGTTTATAGACATTTCAGTTGTTTCTGCCCTTTGACTGTAATGAATAATGTTGCTATTGTTGTGGAAATGGAGTTGGCAAGAAGCGACTGATACTCAGGTTGGAAAGCCAGGTACTTATTATGCCGGTGAGCCCAGACAAGCTAATGCTTGGAAATCTGGACCTCGAGCTCAGGTCTTACAAAGTTTTTATAGGTGACACATTTACAAGGCTAGCATATCAGTAAGTTTCAGTTTTCGGAATTCATGTGGTGTAGGCAGATAAGCAAGCTAAGCTTGGTTACAGAAGCCAAAAAGGCAAGTAGTGATTAGAGGCCAGACTAGCGTAGCAAGCAAATATTGTTTCAAAGACAAAATATTACTTCAAGGACAAAACAGGCTTATGAGAAAATTATTTTGGCATTTTCTCCTATGAATACTTATGTACAAGGCTTTGTGTGGACATATGTTTTCAATTCACTTTTTTTTTTTAAATCCTTTTTTTTGTTTTTTTAATCTTTTTTTTTTTTGGTGGCTTTCTGGTACAGGGATCTGAACTCTTGACTTTGGTGTTAATCAGCATCACGCTCTAACCAACTAAGCTAACCAGCCAGACTTTTTTTCAATTCTCTTAAGTGTATGCCTAATAGTGAAATTGCTGGTTCAAATGGTAACTCTGTGTTTAGCTTTTTAAGGAACTGGCAAACTGTCTTCCAATGCAGCTGTACCATTCCCACCAGCAGTGTATGAGGGTTCCAATTTTTCCACATTCTCTCCAACACTTGTTAAATCTCCAACAAGTCACTTTTTATGGTTGTTTACTACAAACTCTAACTGCCTTCCATTATCAATTGTTACATATTGCTACTGTTTATCTGCCTACAGAAAAGTACAGTTGACCATTGAACAATGCAGGGGTTAGGGAGTTAGGAGAGCCCACCCCTCTGCTCAGTCCAAAATCTGCATATAATTTTTGATTCCTTACCTACTGCTGACCCGAAGCCTTACCAATAACATAAACAGTTAACACATATTTTGTATGTGATAGGTATAACACACTATATTCTGACAATAAAGGAAGCTAGAGAAAAGAAAATGTTAAGAAAATCATTAGAAAGAGGAAATACATTTAAAAAACATTGAAATACACTGAAAAAAATCCACATATAAATGGACCCAAACAGTTCAAACCTGTGCTGTTCAAGGGTCAACTGTACTTAATTAATAAAACAATTTCTCATCATACTCTTGTTTAAATAGTTGATTTATGAAAGACATACTGAGTCCGAGTTCCTGTGTAAAATTTTTTAAAGTTTTTAAAATTTCTTAATTTAAAAAAAAAGTATAGTTTGAATAATTTGAAAAAGGCATTCCTATTTGCCTTTATCAATGCAGACTAGAAAAATGTCTGAAGAGGAGACATCCCAATTTTGCTTAAAACAAAAATGTATAAACCTAAAAACAAATAATCTGACCTGCTTGAGTTAGTTTGGCAGTTCATGCAGAGAAATAGTTTTTTCTGATTTATTCTAATTTTGCAGTGTTAGGTTTTAATCTAAGATATTTTGGGCTCATGTTTTTAAATCAAGTATTCATAAATACTAACAAAGATTAAAAAAATGAAAAGCTACAAAATGGGGAGATGGCATTAAAAAAATCTTGAAATGTCTTGCTAAGAAGGAACTGAAGAGGCAAAGAGAAAATGTCATTTATTCAACCAATGCTCAAAAGCCTATCCCAGAAAAAAGGAAACTGGGTATCACCTTTACACTTATAGTTGAAGTTCACAACTCTTACTCCCACTTCTTCCCTGCCACAGTTCTAGGCCACGTGTTGCCACCTTAGCTGATGAGGAGACTGAACAAAATCACTCCTGGTAATGTGTAGATAGTAGGATTTGAGGGTTCTATGCATACCAATCTATTTATAGGGAAGAGTGTCTATAGGACACTTTTATGGCCAATACGAGTCAGGGCAGCCTTTCTGTTTTCACAGAATAAGTTATTTCAAATTCAAACAACTTCTTTTCAAGGATATAGAGGACATTACATAGAAGTCAACAGCAACTGGAAACTTACACTTTTTGCGATCTTCCCCTCATGTACATAAGTCTTCCCTACTTATAAAAAATACTCAGGGAATAGTTCTGGTGATGATCCAAAAAGCCAGCTTTCAAGATGCTCTCTGAACTGGTTGTAAATCAGGAGCTCTTTAATCTAGGGTCCACATTTCAGATTCCTCTACCGGCCTACCGCCAAAGAAAAAAAAAAGTCTAGGGTCCACAGGCATCCCCCACAAGATGTCAGTGGACAAATTCAGGAGGATCCATAAATTTGATTGGGAAGAAATTACATATTTATATTCATTAATCTCTAATTTTGCTTTTTATAGAATTATGAATATGGGCAACAAAACAGTAGTATTTACAATATCTATAACTATCACCATTAGAAATCACAACATACTTATTGCAGATACCTCCAAACATCATGTATACTCATTGCTACTTAAAAATTGTGAAGATTATTAGACCTACCACTAGACCTTGTTATTTAATATATTAATAAAGAGACATATTACTATTTTGTACTATTTTGAATACTTTATTTCAATGTTTCATTGTAAACTACTGTACTTAATTTTATGTATTTAAAAACACTATTCTATAGATTATATATAAATTAACAGTATTATTTCGATGTTAAATTTCCCAACTGTGACAACTATATTGAGGTTATGCAAAAGAATGCCTTTGTAGCAGATACATGCTAAAAATTATGGAAGGTGAAGTATAAAGTATTATGATATCTGTAATTCTCAAATGGTTCAGGGAAAAAATACACACACACTCTCTCGCTCTCTATTAGGAGAGAGAGAAAAAAGAAAATATGACAAAATATTAACAATTGGTGAATCTAGGTAAGGAATATACCAGTGATAAATGTACTAATATAACAATTTTTCTGACAGTTTAAAAAGTTAAGAGGATGAAGTATTATTCTGCGGAGGGGTCCACAGGATTCAGCAGACTTCCAAAGGAATCCAAGGCACAAAAGAGGTTAAAAAAAACAAACTTCTACTCTATACTCTTTACCTTTCAGCCTTATATAATACCTTCCTTTCATATCCCTTATCCTACAAACAGGATAATTAACTTTTTCACAGTACCCCAGACTTCCTTACTTATGTGTCTCTGATTCTCTACTCTATACTCTTTACCTTTCAGCCTTATATAATACCTTCCTTTCATATCCCTTATCCTACAGACAAACAGGATAATTAACTTTTTCACAGTACCCCAGACTTCCTTACTTATGTGTCTCTGATTTCCTAGAATGTAACCAAACCTTATTTTTTCATGCTAAACTCAATTCAAATTTACCACATCCGTGAGGCCTTACCTGATCCTATTTCAATCAAGCAAAATGCTCTCCTTTCTCTGAAATCCCAAAGCATAGTATTTCTAACATTATACATGGTAATTACTATAGATTACCTTGTAGAATGTCTTCACAGTATCTGAAATCCCAAAATATCAAATACCATAGCAAGCTCTCCATGCATGTTTATCAAAGGGATAGACAGATAGATGACTACCCAGATAAATGATTGCCACACAACATAACTTACATATCTGCCTAATCCTCTCACTGTTACTCAATATAAATACTCAAAAACACAAGAGTTAATTTTTAGATAGCCTCAAGGCCATCTTCAGACTCACATGACAGAGAGTAGCAGAATTAAAACTCCAGTGACACTTCTGAAAAGAGGAACAATGGCCACACTAGTTTCAACTCGGTCACAGATAACATTCAAAAAGAATTTGACTTCCAGTACCTGTTCTTGGTAATGAAATTCATTATCCTCAATTTTCTGAATCTCTTCAAAAATTCTATGAAAGAAGAAAACTATAATTAGAAGATATATTAAAATTTCTCATTAGAATCACCAACAAGAGAAGCATAAAGATAAAGGGACTATCTACCCTAAGTGAATCATTGTGCAGTATATGCATGTATTGAAACAACACATTGTACCCCACAAATATGTACAAGTAAATGTTAAAAGAATAATAATAATAACAACAATAAATAAAATCACTGAAAATAAATACATAAATAAAGGGACTGGCCACATAAATGTAAAACCTTAGTGTACACTCACATGTAGAGGGATGAGGATATGAAGCCAGTAAAGGAAAAGAGTAAGAAAGGCCTGAAAAACCATCAAGGCATGACTAAAGCAAGTCTACTGACAGCCTGAAGGCTAAAATGTACTAGGATTGACTCCTGGCCTCATTCTAATAAGTATGTATTACCTTTTTTCTGGGCCTAACTTCTGAAGCATTTTTAAATACTGAAAGACAGTATGAGCAACCTGAAAACAAAACATCTTATTAGTCTTTTGCATAAAGTGATATCTATATAAAAGAAAAACAACTCCATTTTAATTATTTACCTCATAGAAATGTTCATAACCCTCATCAGTCAATGTAATAGAAATGCTGAACACTGAATAAGTAGAATTTTGCTCAAATCCTGTCTCACCATTTCCACCAAACAGTGCAAGAGCCCAGCACCTATGGTTGGGAAAAAATTAATCCTGTCAGTACATCTCTGGACTGACAGTCTACAAATACTTCAAATTAACAAAATAGGCTTTCTGTGTAAAATTTGAGAATCTCAGTCTTTGATACAAACATATACTTTCCAATAGTAAGATTAAAAGTACAAATTTTAAAAGCATAAGGCCTCCCAAAGAATTATAGTACAATTAGGAATCACTGAAAGAAAAATAGCTGTCTTTACTTGTTTAATAGAAATACCAGTAGATACTTCAATACAGTAAAACAGGAAAAGTTTTATAAAGCCAAAGCAATTCTTGTTGCAGAGAACAATACAAAATATTAAAATTATGGTTGCTGGGAGGTATTTCACTACTATTTTTGTCTCCTGAGAAGCCTTACAACACTTCAAAGACATCCCTCTTTAGAAAGTCAAGTGAGCTTTTTGAGACTATCATTAACCTACTTTGGTTGCATAACAAAGAAGCAATGAAACTTTATTTTTTCCTGACTAGAATAATCCTGAAAACCTAAAATAAGGGAGGAGGACACCAGAATGAAGAACTTGATATTTTAATAAAGTTCTGTGAGATAAAATGGTTGTGCACATCTCAAAGCATATTACATATGTTGTGAAAGGAGTATATGTACCCAGTATCGTTTATTCTTTTATAATAACTTTGCCTCTCAGCTTTCTTTGACTCTTGTAGTACACATCAGCGTCTCAAAGTACTTAAGTTTCCACTCTCAAATAATTAGCATATATAAAAATCAAACAAGGAATTGCTTTAATGCATTGGTCCTAATTCTAAAGTTATATTCTATTATTTGGCTATAGGTGACTTAAGTACTTAACTGCACTAGGAGACATTCTGCTAACATGGCTACATATACTATTTACAGTCTCACATATTTATTATGATTTATCTATCTGCTCAGTAAGGTTTTCACTGAAGTCCACCTTTTGAGTTGGGAAAGCCTGGAGATACACAGCATTTAAACAACTGACTTCTTCACTATTGAGTCAAATCTGAATTCTTGATTACAGCTAACCTTTTTATGCAATTCTGGAATCTATTAGTTTCATTTATGATTTTTTAAATTTTGTGTACATTAGCTTCCAAAAGGGGTAAAAGGTAGTTCACAAGGAAATACACAAATATAATATGGCCATTAAAATAATCTAGGTTATTAAGATGACTATAATTAAGCAGTAAATTTTATTCTAGGCTTCCTGGCACCTAAAGCAAAAGAATGTATTATATAACGTTTATTGTCCACTATTTTTCAGAGATTGCTACACTGAAAATACTTATTAACCGGTTATTAAGATGACTATAATTAAGCAGTAAATTTTATTCTAGGCTTCCTGGCACCTAAAGCAAAAGAATGCATTATATAACGTTTATTGTCCACTATTTTTCAGAGATTGCTACACTGAAAATACTTATTAACTGAATACTTACTTTTTTCTAAGGTAAGAAAGAATGCTGCCTTTGCCTTCATGTCCAACCAGCCAGGAGATATAATGAAGTGGTTTCACCCTTTCAGAAAATTTTTAAGGTCAGAAATCCAAAAAATCAAGGTATAAATTCACCAGAAAATCGTACTTCTAAGACTATAATACTTGATAATACAATTATAATTTTATTCTCACATAAATCCACTAAGAATGAAATTGTAATTTAATAGCAGCGAGATAAAAAGAGAAAATATAGTAAAATATAACTTCTTCATCTGAAATCACTGAATGAATGTAATCATTCAAAAATTGAAGGCTATTACTTTTTTTCTTGAACACCAAACTTGCTTTCATGATAAAATCTTTAATTTCTGTTTCACCCAAAATGGAAATAATATAGATTCTTTATCATTTTAGAGCCTAATACAGATATGAATCACTCTTTGTTTATAAAAGCTTTCAGTACTGCATCAGGCTCTGTGATAAAGAGAAATGTGTTTCTCTAAGGGTCAGAAAATCTAGGTTATAATTTTAGTTTTTCCTTTAAATAAATCATGACCTTGAGCAAGAGACTACACACCGCACTGTATTTTTCTTTTTCTCTTCATTTGCCTAACTTCTTACTCATCATGCAAATGCAGTCACAGATGTGAAAATGCTTTATCATCTAATAATGTAATAGTCTCAGTAGTTGTTTATATGTTACTCAAATTGTCTTCTCCCACTGGCTTCTACTATAATTTTGGAAATGTATTCCTACCAAAACAAAGATATACAGAAAAACTGAGTTAGAAAATCTAATTAGAGGGCCAGCCCCGTGGCTCACTCGTGAGAGTGTATAGTGCCAAGGCCGCAGGTTCAGATCCTGTATAAGGGATGGCCGGTGAGCTCACTGGCTGAGTGTGGTGCGGACAACACCGAGCC